TTTTTTTTTTTTCAAAACATCTGAAGTTCTATTAATGCTATTTCTAGGACTTAAAACAACAGCAAAATGAACACTTTTTACTGATTTTTGAACATCTGATATTTATTGAAAATATGATGATTAATTATTGATAAGTTCTTTTTTTTTCAAGATGCTTTTAATTCCTATACTTTAAAAAGATGTTGATAACTTTGTAGTTAATGATCTAGTTTGTTTAGAGGGTTTAGAGAGTTTATGATGGTTTTTGCCCTTCAAATAATAAGAAGTCAAATTATCTCTTGAAATAGTCTATGCATCTCCTCCAGGTGAATAAGATTTACATTTTCTTTTGTTTTTTGTTAATAGACGATCATATTGTTCCATAACTAAAAATAATGGAAAGTCATCCTCTTCTTGAAGAGCCTTTATTTATTATAAAGGAATTGGTTTTTTTAGATCTGCCACCATATTTCCACGATTACTGTTTCGTGGTTCTAGTTTTAGCTTCATTTCTTAAATAGTGTCTTAAGTATTTTTGCAACAGCAAGGTGATGAACCCATACGTTTGCTAAATTCTCTATTATATTTAATTAGGTTTCTTAAAAACTTCTAATTAACAATATAGTTTTCCAAGAAGCTTTTAGAATATATCTATTTGCTTTGTTTAACAAAAGATTCATAAATTGAATGATTATATGAAGCATTATTTTCAATATTAAAAATTAACTTGTCATTGTACTGCTTCAAAATATTTTAATAATCAATTTTCGAGATTATTTCTGGAAAGAATAATTAATCTAATATTACAAATCAAATTATCGAATATTAATAAATGGATTTTATATCTTTTGGTTCAATAGAGTTCTGTGTTAAAGTTTATTTAAAATTTTATTATGATCATTTTAATTAGTCCAAAATGAAATTCTGATATTAAAAAGTAACTAGAATTTAGAAAAATGTAAGTCTTTGTTGTGAATTTTTTTTAGAAAAATTAAAATAAATATTTTTTTTATTTTTCAATTATTTTATTAATAATTATTAGAATAAAATTCATTATTTTATTTTATAATTTTATAAAATGAATTAGACATTTGTTGTCATTTTTCGTATTAATAATATGTAAAAACATTATACATTTATTTAATTAAATTGCAATTTACAATAATGAATATCATTTAAAAATAAAATAATGTCACGTTTGAGTTTATGATGGAATAGTAATTATTTATGATAAGATTGAAATAAAATAATATAAACATAAACAAGTAGTTATATAAATAATCAAACATATGATATTTTCTTGTATCCATTATACTTTGATTATAATTTGTTCCTCTATTCTAAAAATCTAACTCTTTTTTATTATGTAAAATTTCTTTTTTCCTATTCTTAGAGTATTTCTTTATTTTTTAAAATGCTCTTTGGAGGTA